GAACCCGCGGGCTCAGGCAATCCACTCACCTCAGTCTCCCAAAGGCGTGGAATTACAGGCTGAGCCACCGAGCCCGGCTTAGTTCATATTCTTAATAGGCCCATATTCAATAAGTTGCCATTACAGTCTAGAGCAGCATCATTCCCCAAATACGCAATCTCTAAAACTGTTCCTACTAAAGCAACAACAACAACAACAAAAAAAACCTGTCCAAATTTTCACAAGTACTTTAAAAATATCTTTTAAGGCCAGGCTCGGTGGCTCAGGCTGTAATCCCAGCACTTTGGCAGGCTGAGGCAAGTGGATTGCGGAGCCCACGGGTTCGAGACCAGCCCAGGCAACTTGGTGAGACTTTGTCTCTACGATAAATCAAAAATTAGCTGGACATGGTAGCGCACACCTGTAATTCCAGCTACTTGGAGGGCTGAGATGGAAGGATAGCCAGAGCCCAGCAGGTTGACAGTAGGGTGGCCATGAGTGTGCTGCTGCACTCCAGCCTGAGCGACAAGGTGAGACTCCAACTAAAAAAAAAAATCTTTTAAAACTACAGCTAAACGAATTCACGTTTCCTTCTTGTCAAACATAATCCTCAGATATTTGTGTGTGTGTGCGCGCGCGTGTATAAACATACACATATGTGTGTATGTATATTTGTGTGTAATTTCAGGCATTCATACACCTCTGAAGCCCCTCTATGGATTCCTAGTTAAGAATTCCTGCACTAGGCATCTCTACCATAACAAGTATTTTTTGTTTTGTTTTGTTTTGTTTGAGTCAGAGTCTCACTCTGTGGCCCAGGCTGGAGTGCAGTGGCATGCTGCTCACGGCACCGTAGCCTCAAACTGCTGGACTCTGGCGATCCTTCCACCTCAGCCTTTCAAGTAGCTGGAACTACAGGCATGCGTGACACACCCAGCTAATTTTTTGATTTATTGTAGAGACAAGGTCTCATCATGTTGCCCAGGCTGGTCTTGAACCTGTGGGCTCAGGCAATCCTCTCGCCTCCACTTCCCAAAGTGCTGGGATTACAAGCGTGAGCCACTGTGCCCAACAACAAGTATTTTTATTAACGGTGACCCTTTGCTTTTTGGGTTTCAGGATCAGTTTCAATGATTTGGATGGCATCTGTCGGTAATTACATGATTTAAGAGTAAAGAGTTTAAATACATTTTACTTGATTATATTATGCACATTATTTTTCCTTTAATATCTATTAAGTACAAATAGATTTTTAAATTTGTAATGTCACTGAAATTAAGTCCATAAATTTTTGATACTCTTTATAACAGCAACTTCAGTATGTCACTGAGTTGGCAGTTTAAAAACTGCTGAAGGTTTTCTTTTTCTTTTTGGAGTTCGAGTCTCACTCTTGTCGCCCAGGCTGGAGTGCAGTGGCACACTCACAGCCACCCCAGCGTCAACCTGCTGGGCTCCAGCGATCCTTCTGCCTCAGCCTCCAAGTAGCCAGAACTACAGGCATGCCATACCACACCCAGCTAATTTGTTATTTATTGTAGAGATGTGATCTTGCCAAGTTGAACCCATGGGTTCAGGCAATCCACTTGCCTCAGCCTCCCAAAGTGCTGGGATTAGTCTGAGCCTCCAAGCCCAGCTGGGCAGTTGTAGTAAATGAAGTAATATTCTGAAATTTGTCATGTAAGCTATAAAGTACCATATACCAGTATTATTCTGTAAAGACACTGACAAGTGATGAGTAGAACCAGCAGTCTAAAACAAACAGTTCATGAGTGATGTTACACTATGTGTAGGAACTATTCCCTTACCTTATAAAGCAGTCATCTTTCACACATGCATTTCTTCACATGAGATGTCTGGGGAATATAAAGCTTGAAAGAGAAAACTCTCAAGAGGAATGACACATGGCACTGTTATGTTAGCCACTTGTAGCATCACCTCAGAAATAGAAGAGCGATTCTCTGCTTCTAGTTGTCATTTTAAATAAACTTTAAGAGGCAAAATAAGCATAGATAGTGGTTTTAGACCAATCATTGGTAGACATTTGTGTTCTTTTTTGTTTTGTTTTTGAGATGGAGTCTCACGCCGTCGCCCAGGCTGGAGTGTAGTGGCATGCTCATGGCCACTGCAGCCTCGACCTGCTGGGTTCTGGTGATCCTTCCACCTCAGCCTTTCAAGTAGCCAGAACTACAGGCACGTGCTACCACACCCAGCTAATTTTTTGATTTATTATAGAGGTGAGGTCTCGCCAAGTTGCCCAGACTGGTTGCGAACCCGTGAGCTCAGGCAATCCCCTCACCTCAACCTCCCGAAGTGCTGATGTGTTAATTTTTAAAGTCTCATATGAATGACTCCCTTCACTCAAAACAATTAATTAGCCCCTACTATTAACCAAGCAGTTAAGGTACAAACTAAGATTATTTAAACTTGATACATTTTGGTAAAAATTCTTAAAATATGTGTTCCAATATAATAAAAATTACCTATAATTTTGGGGGAGGCTTATGTCATCACAGATAACACAGAGAAACTGACCATCTGCAGATCAGAACACCTAGAAACATAACCACTCACAACCATCAGGATTACTGCTCTGCCTTCACATAAAAAGAAAGATAAAACC